AACTACGCGAGTACAGCACTTAGAACGGGCTGGTATAACCATATCCTTCTCTACAGTTACATGACAGCAGTGAACCGATGTTTGACATCTTATCCCTCAAGAACAAAATGAACCGACAAAGGATACAGAACACAGTTCCATTTGCTAAGATAGTCCATACAAAGAATGCCCATCCGTGAACCGAGATCAGCAACAACAACAATCGTATACTCCACAGACTAGCTCTCAATAGTCAGGTTGACATCAAGTGCACCAAGAATCACTAATGACTTGCCATAAGCGGTAAGAAGTGATATTTGAAAAATATGCATTTCTGGAATGTCTGAATTCTCTTGTGAAATGGAATATAAAGTGTTGTCAATGAGAGAGACACCCACACGGCATCAATCAAAAACAAAACATGCACATTATTGATTAAAGCATTGACATGCCATCTTTTATTATTCTGTGCAAGTGGAGAAATCGTATTTGAAAATAGGGGTCCATATCGTCATCAAAGATCATGTTAGCGGGGAGTGTGGACATCATCCCGGCTGTCTCCGATTTAAAAGACAGGTTCGTAGTATAAGTGGTAATTGCGAGTTTTTGTTTAGTAGTCATTGTTGTCGCAGAACCTTGATTAAATCCTAATTACGGAGCGCGGACTATGCCCACATAGGGTGTACGGATGGCCAATACCAATACTCTTGACGACCAGGTTGCACTCCCAAAAAGACGCGTACTATCACTGTATCAGCATAAGATGTTTTATTTTCTTGTGATGTGTTGCAACATACCAACAGATACACAGTACGAACAAACAACGTAGTACGAACAGATGCACAATACTGAGTATTGTATACAAGTACGGTTTTCTGAAATAACATGAAAATAATAAATACACAAATAATAACAAGATCGGGGCGGTATCATATCAGTAGGCTTATATTATTGTAAACAAACCTTAAATATCCTTATTACGTCACACAATCACCTAATGACCAAATATGGCATCACGAACGGTTATAATAAATAAACAAACACACAAATTAGTCCCCTCCCCGATATGCGCTCACGTCACATTTAGGATCACTACCTTTCAGCACCCTGTTTTGGCCAAACTAGAAACATTGATAGATTCCCGCTCGATATACGTGATTCATACCTACTCGCCTACCCACAGCTTGCTTCTCGTCAAATTTCGTCCAAAAATGAGTTTTTTCTGGGTTAAAACGCCACTAGAGCCGTGAAAATTGGGGTGGGAACAACTTATATTCTTTCCTATCCGTCGCCGGAGTAACGAGTCTTTATCTTTATTGTATCGCAGCTAATTCCACGTGTGAAAAAGGGCGCTCGCGATTTCCACTTTGGTCACATTTGCGATCTAGGTTGTAAATGTATGATCGAGCCCCGAGTTAAAGCCCCTTCACTTCGGAAGATGTGCCTAGACAACTTATCAAAAAAACTCCGAAATATAATAAAGCTACTCTTATTCCTCAACATTATTCGTTTTAAAAATAATGCATGATATGTAGATTTCCAAAATTCTGAAATTAGTGGAAATTTGATCACATCTTTCCCCACAATCAATTTATGAACAATCACTGAGTGATCAATACCGTAATAAATTATATTTACCTCCCTGTATTTGCCGTAGGTTACACCAACCATGTCTGATCTGAATGTTTCTTGTTGATTTAAATGTTTTTGACCGACTTTGAGATTCTTAATGTATCAGCGCCAATGGCAAATTTCATTCTTGTTGACAATAATTTTTCACGAGCACTATTTGTAATTATTTACCTTAATCAGTTTAGGGGTTGACATACTAGCAGAGCACATTGGGAGTCATCGAAAATATAGGTTTTGCTTCTCATTATAATGAACAGCAATGCGTTTCCGGCGGAGCCAAAAAGAGTATATCTTTGTGGCTTTGATTCAATTGAATTGTATAAAATCACTACTTCTTGGCATTTGTAAAGCGATGATATTGAACTTTCGAGCTAAATGTTTAATAAATTTGATAATATTGTTCTCTGCAATGTAAACATACTGGCCTTCTACCGAAAGATTAGAATTTTTGTACACATCGCCGTGATGGGGTGAAGAGATGAGGAGCGTAATTGATCATATGACAAGACAAGGCCGTTTTTCCAGTCACACGGGAATCTGTTCGCCATACTGCAAATGTATACACGATGTTGATTGAATGCAAACCAGCGTTCTAGGTACCTATTGTAATCACTGATGAAAAAGTAAGGGTATTACTATTGGTTTATCGAATGGACCAAGATTGAGTTGCTATCCTATTCAATTTTAGAATCAAATAATCGGGTAGGGTTGGTGAGATTAGGTTGAAAAAAAAAAACGTTTGTAATAAGCTTGTCGTATAACAGTAGGCACGTCAGCACACCCAAAAGCTGCTTTCGCAAACGTTTCCATACTTATTATGTAGGGTCTAAAACAGGAACATCGGCGCTCCGATTGGCGAGATTTTTGCTGATCGCAAATATACGTTTTTGATCGTAATTGCCCCACTAACAAGGTGAAAGTAGAGGCAATATAAACGGTTTTCCGGTCACGGTACCGGCATAATTTTAAGGGAAGTGGTTGAGATGGATTTGTAGAGTATGTTAATGAAAAAATGAAGTGTGTGCTGTGATTACAAAGCATATTAGAAGCCTTTTGGTGAAAATGATCGCATTACTGGGAAGGGACTCTACCTCTACCGGCACTTTCAAGGCCTGACAGGAAAACAAATACAAACCATGTACAACCTAGAATACAAAACTATATGTAGTCTATAAACTTACTTGACGTTGTGTTCTCAAGGGTCGTCAAGCAGTAACTTGAACATTGAATCACAATAACTCGACTGAATTATTTAGCAGTAGGGCCTATTAGAATAACAACTAGGACGAATATCAATTAAACACTATTATTAGTGGTACAAATAAATACCCTACATATAACTAACACTACAAGCCTAAGTCGTTCACTAAGTAATCGATTACAAGAGAGCTATGCTCAAATATATGGACACGTAGCGCCACCCAATGGCAATAATTTTGATGACGTCATAGCCAAAAAAAAAGTAATAGCTTTCTGGAGAATTTTATCTTTAACCACTGAAAATTTCAAAGCAATTGGTCCAGTATTCGAAGAGAAAAGCGATTTTTTAATGATAATGACGAAAGAAAATAACAATAACAACAAAATTTTGAAACGATCGTTATGGCCACTAAACGTGTTCAATAAACCCTAAAATAACACTCTCAGACCGACGTCAAAACAGTCATCAGCCAGAAACTTCCGGAAGACTGCAGCGTGCGTGGTCCCCTGACGTCAACCAAGCAATCGATAAGCTGGTTCATGGCGCCAACTTGCGGGAGAAATAATTATACTTTAAGATGTTGGCGGCAACAGCCATAGAACAGATTCCGCTAATATATCCTGGTTGTCCGCACCGAAAACAAGTTGGTCCACCCGCAATATTTGGATATTATCGTGCCACTGACCCGTTGCTTACAGCGGGGGAATGGCGTAGACAGCGGTGTAAGAGCTCATGGACTGCGACAATCACGGATTCTATGCCCAACTTGTCCGCATCTGAAACAAGAAATACTGGAACTACGACGTATCCGCAACTAAGGACCCAGTTGTGCTCTTTAGTTATTTTATTTACATTCTTATTTTTGATCGGCTAATGTTGGATCAAAAATGGCTGAAGTTCTAAATACCTCTAATGTAATATTTACTTAACTTGTTTCGTTTCATACGATATTTACTAAATTGCTGTGTTAATGAATGACTTCTTGAGACAATGTAATATTGTTCATATTTTAACAAACTTCTTATCAAAACCAACAAATTATTGTAGTTTAAATAAAATCTTCGAGGGGGATAAATCAAACGCACACATATATTTGACGTAGCCATGGATATAATCGAAACATATAAAAATACAGTGATTCAAATCAAATATTGCGTATCAGAAATTGTCAAATAGATGACACCACAGTCCAATAGTACATGTATGAAAAAGAAATATTTTTTGTGTATCTCAAAGACTCTGTGTTGTCTTTGTTAGAAGCACGACCTCATAATTTTTTTAGTCTATCGAAATTACCAGATGATATATATATATATATAGAAGATTAGGCAGCTTGTTATCCTAAAGCAATCCTAAACAGAGCCTAGTGGAAGACACGGTTTACTAGAGTTTAACACAGCAACACAAGTTCTCTCTTATTCAGTTAGGCCATAGCCTAATCCAGAAGTCAACGAATCAATAAAAAAATCACCAACTTTTTAATTCTTGTATTGTGAGACGACACACAGGTGAATGACAGCGGTTTATATAGATAGGAGATCGACACGATCGGAAGCGATTAAATCTCCTTAATTCTTGTAAACTAATTAATCAAGAATGTCGTTAGTTGGCCTAATATTTCATCAGCTATAAGTATTACCGGTAATTTGATATTGGTTTTTGAGACCATTTGGTCAGGGCGAGATAAGTTGTTTTGAGCTATAGAGCTGTTATTACGAATGGTTAAATAAATAAATTACGTCGAAATGTTTAATAAGGCTTTTTTCAAGTTAGAAAAAGTATTTGACCAATTTCAGATTTTCAAAGCATTGCCACTTTCTATACTGTTAAAAATGTTGTACAAATAACTAATATTCCCCATAAAGTATTACAACTTATCAAATGCGGGTCGAATTCTAAATCACCTATTAGCTGAAACACAGTATTCAACACTATCATTTGAAGGCTGAAATACCACCTAAAGCAGATATAGAGATGTCGAAATTAAAAATATACTAACACTACCCAAACTTTTCTTTTGTTTAATTTCTGAATTTTCAGTTTTAACGTATCCGGTACAAAGCTTAATTTCAAAAAAGATCATTTTATTCGTTTGAAATCATTCTGAGCAATATATAACCCAGCGCTAATCATCATAGGCTGTATAGATAGCTGATTTTTTTTTTCAATTTCACAGCGTCAAATTAAATCAAATGTCGTCGGAACATGGACACCGTTTACTGCAAATTGAAGTTCAAATTGCCGAGAGCTTAGAAAGAAGAAAATATGTCTTTCTTGGGATTGCCGTATGATATTTTTATTCATTGGTCAGCTGTAATTTCACATGCAGTTGATAAGTGATTTATTAAATCAGCACTACACTTATAGACATACGTGAAATTGAATTACAAACAATCAGCAATACCTCGAGCAGCTTAAGTTGAACCTGTAAAAAAAAACTGTTTCAAAATAGCAAAAATTATCTTAATATACCCGAGGGAAGGCATGGGATGTAGATGCATGCCGAATACTATGCGAACTTAGTATACCGCATCCACAGCTCTGTAAATTGAAAGCATGTGGTGATTGTTAATGTTTGCATTCTCTTAAAGCAGGGCTTTCCAACCTTTTCTTCGCTGTGGACCCCTACATTTTATTCATTGTCATATGGAGCCCCAAGTGTTTATTAGAGATATCCAAATTGAATCACTTATTGCCTTAATTAAATTTTAGTGTACTCGGTATTATTACCATATTCAATTTTGGACAACCAGGAAGTGTAGCTGTGATAGGTTCATTCAATTATTTATTATTTACCTTTTCAATTCAGAACCCTAAGACACCTGACATAGATGGGCGGTTTTGTCACTCTGCTGCCCACTGGTTTTCTAGTACCCCAAAACAAAATTTTTTTAAAAATAAATTTAAGTTTTTATTTATCTAACAAAATTTATTTGGTGAAAAACTAACAGAAGTTTCAGTAAGAATCTTGTGGCTCGAATCGAATTTAACACTAATCTAACAGGTGCTCTTTCGTTTATTTTAGTTTATCCAACATATGAAAAGTGCAACAACTTTACTCTTTTAATATAATTAGAACTTTATTTGTGGAACCCCTATGATCGCGCTGTGGATCACGTTGGGAAGCCCTGCGTTAAAGTAAAAACGAATATATTCCACCATAGAATACAAGAGTATACCAGAAATCATGAGTATATACTCCGCTACTTTACATGAGTTATTGTTGGTTTTTGTTTCAGATCACTGAGCTCATACTGGGAGTGGTGCTTCTAGGATTATGCGTAGTATTTTCGTTAACTCTTGACGCATATGCAGTGTTTGCAGTAATTTACATCAGCGAATGTATTATGGTGAGAATGTTATTGAGTATAATGAGTTGTTGTTTACTTAATTTTCGGAGTTACGATAAGAGATGTATATCCGGAGTCGTGAATAATAGCCAGAATCGGATTGTTTGAGTTTTTGAGCGACGGTGCGAAATAAAACTCTTCCGCAACTCAAGTTTCTAGTTACAGACCGTCTCGTCATCAAACCAATGATAACGCTGAACCAACGACGAAACTAAATATAACAACCGCAATGAGGTTCATTATTTACCCAAAAGATATCGGCAACAGGTTGATTCCCGTAAACATTGTTTTAAACTTTCATATGAGCAACGTCTAGAGCAGTGCTCCCTTTCAACCAATTCTCAAAATCTGGTACACCCCGCCCGTCCTACATTTTTGATACGAAAAATACTCAATATTTAGAAGTTGAGTATATAAGTATAAGTTTATTTCGACTCTATAATCAGCATAACAATACATTTGACAGATAAAAACAAATAAATAAAAACTGATTATGAAATCAGGGGAGCAAACGAAACCTAAGATAAGGTTTATAACGTACAAAATATAAGATGGAAGGTTTTGCCAAGAGGAAGTGGTACGTGTTTACTCACCTAAAATTATTAAGTTATTTCACACACGCTCACATGCACCCACCAGCCACACACACACACAACCACTGAGAAGTTATTTTAAGAATAAAACGCGATAAATTTAGGGTATACTATACAGTAAACAAAAAAAAATTATTTGCCACACCATATTGATATTTTGTAATGGTTGCCATTGCCAAATTGATCGATCTTCTAATCGTTAATTAAAATATAAAAGGAAGATTCTATTGAAAACATATTGCCAAGCTGATTATAGTTGGAGTCAAATGCCAAGTTGCCAGAATTGGGTGCATGAAGAGGTAGGCGAGACCATTTCATTCCCCAAATTAGAGCCTATTATTGCCAAATTATGGTCCAGATTGTAATAAGTAATTAAAGTTACCGGTAACAGTAAAATTACTATAATTAAGTAAAGTAGGATTTGGAAATAAATTGGTTACAAAGGGTGTAAGTGAGGTTTTTCATTCTTGGGTATTGATTTCAGACAAGGATATAGGAATAAGGTTGTTATTTCACAGGATATCGGAGTCTTTTTTGATTTTTTCCTGATGTGTTTTACCTCATTTAATCACTTTGAAGTAACCTTAAAAACAAAAAATAAAACTGCGAGTAGATGTTTCAATGATTGGGTGAAGGGGAACGCGCTGAACTATTTATTACAGGCAAAAAATAATTGTTTAACTAAATGGGATGTATTGTCATTATATAGCGATGGATAGATGATCTATGATGACATTCTGCTTGGGACCCTGGGGTGTACTATACACCCGGTTAAAGAGCACTGGTCTAGGGTTATCCTCAACCCAAACATTGTAAAGGGAAGGGCAAAAAAACATTAACAATGACTTTTCCGTTTCGAAGATGAAACTAAAAAACTCCACTTAATGCGAGCAGTCGAAAATTTAATGCATCTTCGAATTTTTTTTATTTATTTCAGTACATTCTCACCGCAAGTTTTGGGATTGCATTAGGTTGCAAACCATACAAATGGTTGGTGAGTAGACTTTTTTTCTATTTATAATATCGAATAACATAAAATTGTTTATTCGTGCGACTTTTTATTTGTTTTTTTCAATATATATATATGTTGTTTGAGGATTATTTACTAAGCACGCAGCGAATACTTTTAATTAGTCATTGTGTCAAATTAAACATTTTCTAGAATATTGCAATATTATCATTGAGTTCGAATTTTCGTCAGTTTTTGTAATTTTGAATGACCTGTTCATATTTAATTAAACCCAATTCAATATTTTTCCCCCCTATAGATATTGCTTACGTTAATTAAACAACTTGATTTAAATTTTCAGGCTGTTGTGACTTTAGTTTTATCTATAATTTCATCCATTTCCCTCGTCATTGGGATTGCTTTTGGAATCGCGTGGCTTATAGTGGGATCAACTACTGTTGGAGCAATTTTTGTCGTGTTTTGCGGAACATCGTCTGTATTATGCATCGTAGGTGCATCTTTTGCTGGAAGTTCTCTGAAATGCTGTGTATGCTCCAGGTCTACTCAAGTTCAGGTACACAATATGCAAATTTTGTACCACAACATACAATACATTAAGCAAATTTAGTATTTTTTACCATAGCGCCTCAGATATTTTCAAAGTCCAGCACTGTATTGTAGCATCGAACTGCCGATTTTGAAAATTTTCAAATCAAAAGTAATATGGCTTATTGAATTCCTAAAGATACCTTCCAATGAGCTACTTCCATTAAGTGATTAATACATATACATATAAAATGATTGCAATTCAAGCTTGAGAGATAGAATGCCACAAATCGACTAACACTAAGAGATTAATATATATATATATATCACAAAACCGTTTTCATTGTATCCCACTTCGTTCTACACATGACTTTGATCAGAAAAAGAAACTTTATCGAAAGGAGCTAGTGCTCCCCCTCATGTACCCTGAGTGAGGTAGCGATATTTCTTGAATGAGCTTAGTAATATCAATTTTCGTCCTTTTCAGGATATTCCAATCGCTATGCCGACTGTTAATGAAGCATTTCAAGGTGCGTACAACTAAATTAAGTCACACAGATTTCGATCGAGAAACCGATCGTTGTTAAATCTTAGAGGTGCAGTGCGGACATTTGCATAAAACTTGCGTATCCTGTGTAATAAATGATGTACAAAATGATACTTCAGATTTTAGCGTTTTGGATGAGCCTTTGTAAATGTGCAATGGATCGATCATTCAAACTGCATTCTAGCTGAATTTGAATTGCAATTTAATGCAACCCAGTTCCTAAATTTACATTTTGTGACACGTGTTAAAATCCACTCAATATGATTTGTATAAAATAAGTATATTAGGCTTCATACCGGGTGGTCGAACTTCTAAGTCTATCACCTTCATTTCAGTCAAGTCAAACCCTACAAAAAATGAAGAACAAGTGTCAACAAATTTAGAAACAACTATTCCAGGGTATACGGAGGAGAAATGGTAGCATACAATATGGACTTTGCAAATTTAAGCTGAGAATCATGTTGACTTTTAATCCTAATAATCCTTACTGTACTATTGATATAATTTTGCTAAATTTCATTTATGACATTTCCGCCGGAAAATGACTGCCTATATACTTAATGTATAGCATTATTGCCTACGGAATCACAATGCATCTCAGTGTTACATTTTTTTCTTGGAAGCTGTCTCAATTATTTTATAACGGAATATACATTTCATTATCCAGTGAAACGTACATTCTGTGTTTATTTCATAAATACGGTATACAGTATATATTATATAAATTTTTAATAGAGTCTTCAAATTTTGACGCTAAAATGATGAAGTTAGTCAAATAAAAAGTTTTTGTGAAAAGGTTTTTCCACTGCTACTAACACGTAGGTCTACCAGTTAAAATAAATTCTGTGTCTTTTCTCATCATTGTAGAAGGGAATTGAGTGTAGATAACGAGTGAGCTCTTATTTGATACGATCATCAAGTATAATTTAGATAAAACAAATTATATGCATAGTCATTTGGAGACCGAAAGTATCCCGTCCAAAATTCATAACTACTTCTACCTGTTTAAGTTGGTCGGAAGGTTTTATACACAACATATTTCTTAGAAAGGCATATGAAGAAGTTCGATGGCCCCCTGTTAGAAAGTTTGCAGATATTGCTACGGCAGATATAAGAATTTATCATATTTATATGTGATGGGATTGTAGTCTTTTATATCAGCTCTATTTAAGATTTTTATTCCATGACGTCTTGTTGACTCGTTTTTCCCACATTAATTATATATATTCGGCATGAGGTTTTTCAAAATCCAAGGGTGTCTAAATTGACGATTACGTGTTTCTAATTTCTGAATAAATGTCAAATTGAGGACAACAGTGGGCTATTAGGCACCTAAGAGACATTTTCATCTTTAGCTACTGAAAATTATGTCAACAACACGGACAACATCTATTTAGATATACAATTTTTACATCGCATTCGCGTTCAACAACTTGATGAGAACTAATGTAAATTTTTCCATGTCCTTTGGTTGTCTTCCCAAACATTGCAGGTTTAAATAAAGAAATAAAAGTAATAGTCTGGCCTTCTAACACAACAAAAATCTTCAATTTCAAAGCAATTGGTCCAGTAGGTAATGAAAATGGCGATTTTTTCATTAATTATTCATTTAATAACAACAACAAGAAAAAGACCAACAATAACAAGAAAGGGATGCTTGAATATTTGGGCACGAAGACAAAGTGAACCAGTAGTCTACCTTACCTTTTACAGTAGCCTACCGTTACGTACCGTTAAAAACTTCCGACTTTCGCCTTTGCGTAGCGCAAGAGAGGGGTCGAAGAACGGCTACAAATAATTTGTATTGATTTTGAAGAGGTAATCACACAAAATTTAAAGGTGAAAAAAGAATCACATAGAGCACACAGAGAGTTTTGAAATAAATAAAGTGAGTGCCTCCTAGTAAAAACTGCAATACTTAATCATTCCAAAGCAATTGTTCCAGTAGTTGATGAGAAAGCAATTTGTTTTCATACGGTAAAAACAACAAATATCAATAAAAACAACAACATAGCACCGAAACGATTCAGAGGTTTATTTTGGATCCAATAACTGGCTCATCGTGCTAAGCGTTAGGAATACGCTCGCCACCGCATCTCTGATCACCCTGCGTGGGTTCGCAGGTTCGAATCCCATGCGGGGTAGTTATGTGCGGGGGGATTGCTGGACTCCTCGCCGTCGTAGGGTGGTTCACGTAACCGCTGGTCGGTTACGGCTTCCTCCACCATCAAGTCCATGCTTCCGAAAAACAAATAACTAAAACTAATCTCATACCCGACATGGACTGGTAACCGGACGAGAAGCCGTGGTTTGCGATATGGTTAAGCCGTCTTATCGAGTTTCCTCTCCTCCAGGATAAATATGCATATCCTATCCTATCCTCTTACACTGAGCTACTGTGTAGGCTACTTTTCTCTTTAATTGTATATGAATATTTCCGTGTAGTATTTTTTTTATTACTTGCGAAAAGAAATTAGTTATATCAACTATTTTGTATATATTATTGATTCATTTTATATATATTTTGAATGTGTACATATCGAAATATTTATTATAGTTTATTAAAGTTGACTGATATTAGCAGTGCAGTTGAGTTTTCATCCATGTCTCATGTTGACATCAATTTTCATCATATATTTCTTACCTGTTCGGGTTATATCGTACAAGTCCCAATTCATCACACCAACATATAACAATAACATTACGTGAGAATTCATCAATTTTGTTCCTAACTGTTGTAAAATTATTACTGGTTTAACTATTTCCGTAAGTCATCTTCTCCTTTGAATCTTATTCATACATGCGAATATAGTACAGTAAAACTAATCCCATACCCGACTTGGAATGGTAACCGGACGAGAGGCCGTGGTTCGCCATATGGATAAGCCGTCTTATCGACTTTCCTCTCCCCCGGGATAAATATGTAAATCCTATCCCATCCTATCCTATATGGCAGGAGTTAGCATCAATGACCGTTAGGTCGTATTTCTCTCTCTCCTGTCCACACCAACGACTAACATACCGTCCACACAAAACAATTTTATTTTTGTTGCATTTTTACTGCAATGATGACTGTATTTTCTGTTTGACAAAATAATAAATTTCTCTTTCTTCATTCCGTGTCCAAAAATCGTGGTTATGCTAACGGACAACAATGAAACGTGCAGGTGAACTGAGCAATATAGGCCACTAGAGGCGATGAAAAGACTTTCCGTCGTCCATCGAACCAATGATCGAACCAAAGCGTTTTGGTTTAGGATAGGATAGGGTTTACATATTTATCCTGGGGGAGAGGAAAGCCGATAAGACCGATAAGACTTTTATGACACGCTTTCTCCAAATACAAAGTTATGTCGCAAAACAAGTTACTTTGTCAATTTCTTTTGTGCAAAATATTGAATAGGCTATTTTTAAAATTCAAGTCAATGGCTAGACTATATCGTCCAAGATCGACCCTGTTTTGACGAGTGTCTGTGGTATTTTAGTCGGCAATAAACGAAAAAAAGTTGACGCATTTGATAAAGACAGTTACATAAACATTCCATATTGGATCTAACTATTGCGAGGCATTACGCAAACACATATTGAGTGGGGCAATAAATCTGGGTAGATTTATATAGTTGAAAATCAAGATTTCGTAATTGAAAATGAATCTTTCCTGCTTTCGGGTCTCGTGTAGTTTCGTACCTAACGCCGATAACGAACTCGCTAACGCCGGCGATCTCTCTCCTATCGTGACGGGAAAACGAGATAAATAGCTTGCTCGATTTCGGATGATCATCTGCGCATTTTGGACGAATATCCGCATACTTTGGTGGTCCTTATTACTGTATTACGCCAATGTGACGTCGAAACGACGTAATTTTTCGGTGACGTAGTCAGGTGGGGGTTAGGATTGGCATATGCAAAAATTGTTGAGCCAGGCCAACTAGAATATGTGGTACTAAACTATACCAGACCCCAAATTTCAATGTCCTGAGAAATGCCTGTTTAGTATAAAATAAAATATTTCTTTGTCGTTTCACTAATTACTGAATTACCGAACTCCTTCTGCATACTTGAAAATTTTGAAACCGAACAATAATTCTGCCATTCAAAAATGATATTATTAAACAAGCTATTACTGTATTATACCATAAACTCTATTTTATAGTCTATTGACTTTTAATTTGCAGATGCTTCTGTAGGCATAATTAATACATAAAATGCAGAGAGGTGATGAAAGTCAGAGAAACATACATGCTCTTTTACAGCAGCGACGTTTACGTCACATTACCGGAGTTTACATTCGTAACTTAAGGATACCACAATATGATTCTGTTATTAGTTCGGATAATGCTACTACAGGAATAACTGAAGCTCAATCTGTTCCAAAAATTTTTATCAAAATTTTTGCGAATTTAGATAAAAATACAGATTTGAATCAGCACCAAGTAATATTCGAAAGTGAACTTATTGATTTATGCAGTAACCCACAATGGATTAATTTTGATATACCGAAAACAGAGTTATCAACTGGAAATCAATTTACTCTTCAGTTATGGCAGAGAAATTTGAATACTGGAGAATCGGATACTTTGCTTTCATGGAATTGGAATTTGTCTAGGTTATCATATATAGCTGAATATTTACATCGCGCAGAAATTGTGTTTTCACCGAATGCTTTAATCATCCAAATTAGTGGCAGTTTTTATTCTCTTTCCCAATGTTTTTCAACTGATAGTCCATATGGAAACTGCCCACGTTTTAATTTGGATGAAGAAAAAGGCTCATGTAACGTGTTTTCATTGACAAGAATGGTTACGTGTCATAAATCAATTACTCAGGCAAAGCAGCGTACGACGAATTATGCAGAAACCTCACGTTTATTGATGCAAAACACAGAAATACATCGAATAAAATTGAAGCAAATAGAAGATGCACGAAAGCGTATAAAACGTTTGAAACTCCTTTTATATCGAGAATCATCGATGTTAAAAACAGAGCAAAGTGAACTGCATGCTCTTCAATATACATATACTAATAAAGATTCTCATCTTAGTGGAAATCGAACTATTGTAGTAGATGAACGAGATCGTTTCAATGAAGCTTCTGATAAAATTATTGTTTTGCGTCAAAGAACTGGTCTTTTGAGTGGTAAGCTGCGATCTCGGCATATGGATGTACTATCTGAGCTTGCCTATATTTTCCCTATTCTTCCTTATACAGTACCGAGTACCGGAAAAAATTCTACGTCTGGTAAGGGCCAGAATCAAGTAACCAAACAAGTTCCAGCCTTTACCATATGTGATATTCATTTAGCTGAAGCGGAAAGTCTCATACCTAAAGATGATACTAAAAACGCTGTTGCTATGGGCTATGTTAGCCAAATGTTATATATGATTTCATACTTTTTATTAATACCTGTGAGATATCCTATGATTTTACAAGGATCTCAAACTTCAATTATTGATAATGTCTTAGAAAAGATTCAAGAAAAAGAGAGAGTTTTTCCTTTATATTCAAGAAGCAGCAAAGAAAGGTTTTTATTTGACTATGCGATATATTTATTAAATAAGAACATTGGCCAAATGAGATATATTCTTGGAATACAAACATCTGATTTACGTCCAACTTTATTTAATCTTAAAACTCTTTTAGAGCATGCGTTCGGGGCTCAAAATCAAAGTAAACCTATTATGATCAGATCTCCTCGTTATGATGCACCTCAAATACCACCAACTTCAACCCCTCCACAACCTCAAAGAAAAGGTACTAATAGAGAATCAGAGATGAACGGTATTCGCAAAACACCTATCAATTTAGAAGAAAAGGTTCATGATAGAAGTGCAGAATTGAATAATTTACGGGGAGAACTGTTTGGAAATAAAAAAAATGCTAAATCAGTTTCTATATCTCCGAGACGCATTCAATCTAACTCTATCAAAAAAAACAATGCAAGCGTTCCCGTAACACATCTCACAGTTCCGAATGACACCGATAAACCTCTGAAAAGTATTATTGATGAAGATGTAGGCGTCATTGTGCCAGAAACTGGAGATACAAATGCAATCTTTCTTACTGGTCTTGAAGATTTAGACCAGGGTCCTAAAAATGTTGCAAAATCAAAGAAACCTATTGATGTTGTTGCTGCACGAAATGAACTTTTCAAAACGAAAAGTGGTCGTCCAATTATTACAAAAAGACATACCTATACGATGAGAGCGACTTCGTCATCATCACCTCGATCAGAAACTTATTTTTCAACCAAAGAAGAATTATTTAAAAGAAGTAGTGTCACTAAAAGAACTAATGAAGGATTAGATGCTTTTAATAATACAACATCTTATGATTCTTTATCAGAAAGCACATCTAATATTGAAAATAACAATCTTAAAATTCCGCCATCTGCTTCTGTTCCAATTACAGATGATTTTGATTTGTGCTAATGTTCGAATAAATCTGTGGCTATTTGAAATTTCTGAAAAAGAAAAATATTCATTTCAACATTGTTTATTTTTCCAACTCTGCATAAAAAATTGATAACTTTGGCAAATTCACTTGTAACATTTAATTTGATCTTTGTTAACAAGTTGTTTTTAATATCAAAATAAGTTTTAATTTGATTTGATTCCCAATTTTCAATAAATCTCTCAATCAATATATAGTTCAATCAATAAATTTTATCCTCAACAGGTTCGAATTAGATTTATTAGATTCCGACATGAAAATTAAAGCTACCGGTAAATTAAAGTCAATGTTTTCATTCATAGTTTTTCATAAAAACTACAAGAATATTTCGATTTTCTGTTTCAAATTCCTGTCTACAAAGGAGGATGTTGTATTGATAACAAAAATCTGTTTGATATTTAGCAAACAATTAAATAAAAACATAATTCTGTTGCAAAAGTGGTTTTTCTCTTAATATTAAGTTTTGAAAAACTGAATATTCTAATTCTATTTCATTTTGCCTGCATTTATCGTTTAGTATTTATAAAATTATTATATATAGGATAGGATAGGATAGGATTTACATATTTATCCCGGGGGAGAGGAAAGCCGATAAGACGGCTTATCCATATGGCGAACCACGGCCTCTCGTCCGGTTACCATTCCAAGTCGGGTATGGGATTAGTTATACTGTATTGTTTTGTTTTCGGAAGCATGGACTTGGTGGTGGAGGAAGCCGTAACCGACCAGCGGTTACGTGAACCACCCGACGACGGCAAGGAGTCCAGCAATCCTCTCGCACATAACCATCCCTGCATGGGATTCGAACCTGCGAACCTCCGCAGAGTAATTAGAGGTGCGGTGGCGAGCGTATTCCTAACGCTTAGCCCGTTGAGCCACACCGCCGCGCCGTTATATATATTTTTTGATGAAGTGAAGTGAGGTGATGTGTATGATTTGTGCAATATGACATTTGAAACATCAACTTCCTACATATTTATGAATAAAAAGTGGTGTTTTTTGGTAATAAGATTCATAATATGTTGTTGAAAATTTCGATAAAGTTTAAATCTTTAAACGTAAATCGCTTTGCCTACTAATCAAAGTTGTTGAGCGATGAGTAGGTAAAACACGATATCACTGATAAATTAATAATAGCCTACTTTTCCTCTTAAATTTGTGAGCATCAATTAATTTATGAAGCTCCCTTACTATGACAATATTTAGGCGATGTGTGAAAGTTTGAATGAAAAATTGTCAAGAAGTTAAAAAGAAACATGTTGTATGATTGATTAAACCAGCTCACTCGGTAATTTGTATAAAATTATCAATAATTTCCTATGTGCTTCTGCTCCATTTGTGCAATTTAAATGTGTGTAATTTTTCTTGTATCATTCCAAAATGTATGTCATGTTTTATCAGAGGATCCACACTTTTACTTTGAATAGGCTTCGGCCAAGCAGCTACTGATATGTACTGTATTATAAATTTGTTTGTACATGAACTTTAAAACTTTACAATCTGGAACAGTCAAATCACCAGAGCGAAATAGCAGATGAACTTCAGAAACTTTATCAGTCATTATCATATCCCACTTTTTCAATTTTCTGGGCTCAAGCCGTTGTGGTTTAAAAAATAAATGATTACATGATGTATAACATTGGTACCTAAAATAATTTATCAAAATATTCCGCTAATTATTAAATATGAAGCTTTGTTAGTATTTCGCGTACCATTCATTAATAAATGCTATGCTCTCAAAATTCAATTCGATTTCAGTGTTTCTGACCCAAATCACGAAAAATTGACAATTTTTTGCTTGTGAAAAGTTTTGAATTTTATTTTTAGTATAGTTATATTTTGTTTTGCATATTCGGGAAGTAGTTTTCAGAAGTATATTAAACACTATTCAAAAAACTAATTCATTATCTGAAGATCTTGAAGTAAACGCCATAATTTCTAATAAAAAGTCAGTCTTATAGCTATTGGAAAATGTCAACCCAGCAGTAATATCATGAGCATGTGCAGCTATGCTATTTGCAGTTAATCATTACCAGGTTTCTCTAATGCATATTATACTGTATTGATTTTTAATATCATCATGATGGCTTGTGTTTGCCTATTGGTAAAAGTATGTTCTACTGATATCTATTATTAATATCCATTATATATATAAGTCGAATAATACCATCAAATATAATAGGTTTGATAAGCTTCCCCATAATTTCATGATAATTTGTTCATATCCTTCATAAAGCGGTTATCATGTGGGTTTGTGAAATAAGGAATATTACCAAAAATAGAGTGACTAGATCACGGTTCCTGAAGAATCTCAGTAACTTTAAATCGCTTTAGTTCAGCATCAAATTTTGCATACGGTAATTACTTTTAAATAGGATTTCAAGATTTTGTAAGACAAAATCAATTAGAACATGCAATAATGAATATTGATGCATAATGTTTCGAGTTTTTTTTTACATATCACAATACCAGTTTCTGAATTGGATAGGATTATGCCACAATGCAAGATTTACTCCCCTGTCTGTGCAAAGCTGAAATATATCTACGTGGTTTAACTCTTTAAAATATGTGTACATTTTTAATATTCACTCTGAAATTTATTCAGATTTCAAATTTTTACATATTTTTTTTTGTCCAGGATATTACATGTTAACTATTTTTATTATGGTGATAAAACAGTAATTATGAGGTTTCAATTTTCTGAAACCATCACATATTCCAGAGTCTTAGTTATTTGTAGAAAAATTATTGAACTTCTTATGTCAGATGGTTGCAACTCTAAAGCATCTAGTTCCTTTCTTGATTGATAGCATTTTATGAATATAAATGCACAATTTATTTTATAATATTTGTATATTATAATTGTGATGCGACCTGCGAGTACAGATTTCCCTTTTTTGTCGTGATTTTCAAATTTTCAACACTATATTCGGAACATGTTGCTCTGTTTCAAATTTGGTTCTCAAGATGTGACCATTACTAGCTGTTTCCATAACATTCAGTATTGAGAGTTGATCCGGTTTTGCATGTTTAAACTACCAAAGAAACTCATATGTGTCATTTTCTATTGGCATTCTCTACCATAGCCAAATATTTTGAATCTTACACTATTACTCTTATGTTATTGTGATATTCGCTTGGTTGAATGTGAATTTGTGTTCTAAAATAAAATATGACTTCGTAAAAATATAGACTATTATTTACATTCATTTTTGTCCGTTTTCATCCATGAATAATAATCAATTCTATCTATTTGTGTTTATTTTTACTGTGAATGATTAAATATCTAACAAAAATAAGAATTTAGCAATAATGGTATTAAAATTTGTTCGGGTAATTTTGTCAAATTGTGAAATGCTGGTAGTGATACAGCCCTGAGTGAAGAATCAACGTCCATATTTTTCACATGAGCACTGTTGTTTTCTTTTCCGTGTGGGGAGAAACTCGACCAATTCCGAAAATGGGGAATGGAATGAATAAGGTCAGAAAACATTTGAAATCTTCTGTTATTCCAGTCGTCGTCCACAAATCTGTGGGAGATATGTCTCCTTTACTTTTGAGTATATGTGAGGGCAAATTTCTTCTCACAAAACAGACTCTATCAGAGGTTACAGAAAGTCATGTCACAAGAAAGTCATCATGTGTGATCGCTTAATGCGGAAAATGATGTATCTATAAATAGCCATACAAACTAGAAATCATTTGTAATCTGGCTTTTCAACCACTCTTTGGACTAATTCATGTTTCTTTATTTCGTTATAGGTCCTTCCTGGTCTATTTATTGGAAATTTCAGTGGTAAGTTGATTCATGAATAGATAATTTGAAATTAACATATGGTTTTGAGATTTTTTTCAAAATTAGTGTATTACGATGTCCCACTCTGTCCAAATTTAGAAGATGTTTGCACTTATTATCTAAGCTTCCCTTTTTATGTTGGTGTGTAAATTTTGTTTTAATTATAGCCCCATATGTAACTATGTCAATATCTATTTAAAAAATGAATTGAATTATTCAAGCTTATCCTGTAGACCAGTGGTACTCAACTGGGGGTCCGTGGCCTCACGAGGAGGCCCCAGAGCAGTTGGGGGGAGGGGGCCACAATCCTAGATGCAGAACTAATTTTACTTTTCCCTTTACAAGAAAATTCCTCGTTCTTCCCAGTTTCATTGCATGACAAGGTTATTATTTCACAGGGTGTTTCCACTTTGTTGATCATGAGTTGAATAAACCTAATGGGATTTGAAATGTACCAATGAAAATCACACTATAAATACTACTGTAATTACGAACCGTTGGCCATGAGTGCCAAAAGCCTCTGGAATGAGGCCACGAGCCATAAAAGGTTGGGAACCACTGCGGTATACTTCGATTTAACATTGTTTGCAAAACGCATAATATCTTTGGTTTGTTATTGAATTTAGATTCCAAAGATCGAGAGCAGTTACAGAGGAACCAAATCACTCATATCTTGTCAATTCACGATAATGCAAAACCACTTTTGAAGGTAAACTCTTAAAATAATTTTATTAAGTCATTCACAATGTGTGGGAGGATTGCTGCACTTCTTTTTTTAGCATCCTTGTGCATGTATCAGGGGAAAATTACGTCTCCACTTACTATATCTGTGCACTGAAATGAATTTCAACTTGACTACGTATTCCCAACCAGTCATCAGACAAGAGTCGCTTGTTCACCCAAGTTTAATCCTTTTTGTCTCTTTAATCCCTTTTTTGGGAAGTATAAAAATATGAAATTTGAAAATTTTTTTTATCTAAATTCTTAAATGTCTTGCATACTATACAGTAATGCATAATGCAAAATATTTTTAAACTGAAAAATAGAATAATTCTTCATTTAGAGAGGAAAATCATTTTAACTTCTGTTCACCGGAAATATGAGTATTGAGTACACATCCAGAATAAAATTAGTTCATATGCTATGCTATTTAATATTCCAACATACAATCAATTAATCACATAAATAGAACAACAACACAGTTCATAGAAGCATTGCGGATGTGCATAGTGTTAGATTTTATAAATCTGAATAAGAACAGTATTTGGGTTATATTAATATTATGCACGGATATGCATGGCCGATGTAGTTTTTTGAGTTTTCAATTAACGCCAAATGTATGAACATGGCTTTTATTGTATCGGAACGTTGATAGGAAAATTAATAAACATAGCGAAATTGTATCCTTCCTGAAAGTTGTAAATTGTGCATTTCATGTCAATATAGATGTCCAGGGAATTGAACTCAGAAATGGTTTTTTTTTTAATCTAATTTCAGAATATTTTAATGTAATTTTAGAATTCTGCTATTTTTCTGTGGAATTTCAATTTTGCAGAAAAGGTATATAATAGGTCAAAGTTGACTTCTGGAAATCATATATTTATTAGTTTGTTTCACACATTAACACTCAGGGTCTCAAAGCAGCAACCGTCAAATCAACTTTTCACTCGATTTATTAAGATCTGCAGTATCCACTCCATTATTGATTGTAGGAATTCTGTAGTTGTCTTGTTTATTCTTCTTTAATCTTTCTTGTATTCAGGATATGAAATATCTTTGTATTAAAGTATCTGATACTCCGGATCAAAATTTGTAAGTATTGAATATATTATCTTGATTGTAGATACGTCAGAGAAACAATTAAAAACAGCCAAGTTGGCTCCATGTAAATGTAATTCCTAAAATATTTGTTTTTGCAAAATTATACATTTAAATTTATGTTATGTCAAAGTAAATTTCATGCAAGCCCATTTCTAGTTATCATTTTTCATTTTTTGTTTTTCAGATCTCAATATTTTCATAAATGTATTAAATTTATCCATGAAGCCAGGTTAGTGTGTATCTATTTTTTAAAGCCGTTTTATTATCTGAATTGCTCCTATTAATAAGTTCACACATCAGATTGTTTGTAACTTTTAATCTTCACCTGAAGTTGATGTAGATCAGCGAACTGACACATTAGGATTTAAATTGAGATCCAAGAAATGACTGTTGTTATGTTACAGTCATTTTATGATATATTTATTGAAATGGGCTTTTCACAAGAAAAATTCAAATGAAATGCAAGGTTCCTTAAATTCCATTCCTCAAACTACTGCAAGTCTGCAATGCTTCTGCGACACAACGTAACAGATAAACTGTACCCTACTTACATGTACCAGTATATTGCGTAGCAAGGAATGTTCTTTATACTACAATATGCTTTCTTTTTTTACCAAACTCATCTACCTGTAGATATATCCAGAACGCTGTTTGTTTTTTTATTCACACCTCTGTTTTTTTTTCAGATCTCGTGGAGGATCAGTTTTAGTTCACTGGTTAGTAGTCCAATTTTTGCTGATGTTATCAATTACGTGTAATTAACTATTTAGCCTTCTACTATGCTTTTACAATACTAGATCCATATTCAAAAAGACAGACACAGATATTTCTTTTTGTCGGTTAGCTTTTATCTGGCTTTACCAAGGAATATAAGCCAAGGAATACCGGATAATTTCCAACTAACTTTATTCATTTCCATAACACTAATTCAATACATTCTTCCACATCTTTTCGGTTTTGTTGTTGAATGAAGTAATTTAGAAACAGTAGCATATTTAAACTTTCTTAAAGTTGTTGTTGCTGATTCTGTGTAAATCAGCAGAGGTATATGGGCTATGACATATTATTTTAATACTGATCTGATTCAATAACTGTGATCTGTGAGAAAAAAAAAATATAATTTTTTTTTTAGTCTTGCTGGAGTTTCACGAAGTGTCACTGTGTCGGTAGCTTACATTGCAACAGTTACAGAACATTCTTGGAGAACATCACTTGATGCTGTCAGGCAGTCAAGAACAGTTGCTAATCCGAATTATGGGTTTCAGAAACAACTTCAACAGTTTGAAGAAAGACAACTAGAAAAAGTAAGATTTTTTTCACTCGAGAAATGTATTCTACTGTGTGGGTTCGGTTTGTAGGTTTGAAAACTAGGACTGATTATGTGCAAGGGAAGGAACATGGTCTACGCATGTGTCTGGAAGACTGAAATATTCAGCCAGTGAGCTATTTCTCAAACCTGAATTACCTAACTTGATCATTGGAATTGCTAGAGACTGTGAGCGGTAGGAGAGGAGGATAAGACTTTGCCAAATATTCATATGGCGAACCACTTTTCCACGTCAGGTATTATTAGTTCGTCAGTTAATCATTTCAGATGGATATGCTTGATGGTGGAGGAAGCCGTAAGGGGTGCACAAGCATTTCTTGTAGAGTGTTTTGTGTTTTCATTTTGATTATGTCAAACTCCATTACTCATCAACTTGTTGACACAGCATTAACAATTTTGAGAATAAGTGCATTATAGCGCTTTGTGACTTCGTATACTTTCTCAGTTTATCGATGTTTGCATTCTTGTGAAAACATTTTCCACAACTAGACATTCCAATACAAGTATTGATGTTCGTACATTTTTTCTCACAGGAAAGAAAATGGATTCGTCAAAACGCTCAAGTTGATCCAACTGATCATCAATTTATAGCAAACTTACATAGAGAGTACATGCAATCTCGTGCTCCAGTTTCCAGTCAAGAAAGGAGTGTTGGTGGAAGTTCACAAAGCAGGCCGAGTGGATCATATGCAGCTGCAGCTGCTCCTTTAAACAAACAAGGTGATATGTACCCATATACAAGATCTGATGCAGCCGGCTCTTCTGATCGCAATCAAAACAGGGATGGTGTAGTTTTTAAAAATAAATTTTAATACTTCTAAGTGTTCCACGTTTGAATATTTACACTGTTTTCCTTTTTTTTGCTTTTAGATTGTGTGCTATAATAGTTTTTTTTTTCTGATAAGTTGGTCAGCTGTTTTGAATAATTTGACCCAAAATTTGACCTTATTTTTTAGTTAAAGTTTTATTTTAGGGCATTGAGGATAACTGGCAAATCATGTTAAATATTTTCTGTTGTGTTTTGTCATATTGAACCAAATATCGGTTTCCGTACTAGTTGGTATTTCATCTAGTATTTTTCCATTCATTCAATTCTTTCCAATTTAAAATAGTCTGATTTTGCTGTGATCCAAAATTGGTATATATATGATGTACGGTATGTCAAATATTTTTGCTCTCTCGAAAACAAATTTAAGTCTTCCAAGTTGGAAGATAAGGAAATGGTTTGATTTGGGTGAGAGCTAACTTAATCGGAAAATGTATTCCTGAGCATTGTTTGAACTGTTGATGGACTTTTTTTCTATTACATTTACATTCAGCATGTTAATGTGTTCAAAATTCATCATCGAAATAAATATCCTTCAGCATATTCAAGACGGAACCATGGACAATGTATGGCAAAAACATAATGTATTCCCATTTTCAAATACTAGTAGTTTATTCATCAGTATGAAGTCAATATGATTTAAAAATTAATAATATATATCACTAATATGATTACCTAGTTTAGATTGAAGTTTTCCATTACCCAAAACGCTTTATTTATCAAATTGAGGTGCTTTCTTTTATAGATGTCCAACATATTTATTCATACCTCTGTTTTGGAGTATTGCTATGTATTTTATAAAAGTTTGAAGCATATGACTGAATTTTATTTTTAGTAGGATTCTTGGCTTATGTTATGTGTCAAATTAATTACTTCAGTTTGCCAGCTGTAGTGACTTTGTCATTCTGATTATCATGGGCTTAGTGTATTATGTTAGGCACTTATTGGTGTTTTTGTCAATTTTCTTGTATTGGCTCTGAACTAGAACAGTAAGTTAATATAAATAGATATGCAATGTGTCCAGACTCCGACTCGCAACTTGGAATTTAGTTTCCATGCAGAAGTTGGTTATGAAATTGTACTGGTTTCTTCTGTTATACCACCATTTTTGTAACGATTTTAGTAGACCAATGTTGTGTACTGTTCTTTTTCAAACTCGTTTGTTCAGCATCAAAGTTGTATTTTTTCTCTTAGTAAATTTTGCCTGCTTTTGCCTGATTATTTGTGTTTAAGAGGACTTGTTAAGCTTGAAATTGTGTTATGGGTTTAAAGTAATTCTCAATAATTAGTTGAACGTATTATGGTATTCGGAGACTATTAGGAGGACAGCGAGATTTGCCACTCGGCCGCAATCTACGATCAATTTGAAAATAGCTATTATGAGAAGCGAACGCAGTTTATCATACACTGCTGTATCGTTTCTGTCCATGGTAAGAGGCACACGATTTTGTCTTGCACTTTGTGCAAAATACCTGGGTAACCGCGAGAGGATCCCTAAGTAAACAAACAAATGGTATATTTTGGTATGCAAGTTATAAGTATATTTTCAAAAAATGCGCTAAAAGAAGCAACGACACTGAAGATATATTACTGCGAATGATTGACTGGAGAATCGAGCTAAGACCTGCTAACCACTTTCAACTGTTTTGACAGAACTTCGGAGATCGTAATTGTTGACCCGCTGGTGCCTGAAAGAGAAAAAAGAATTTTAGAATACGTTGAAATTTTATCCCGGGTTTGATCCCAGCCTAGCAACTAGAGGAAACCGGCAATATGCAAATTCGCATTATACTTAAAGAACCAAAAACTGGTGAAGTTAGTCGTGATACTGTAATTAGTATATATATATACCCAAATGACCATACATCGTCCAAAAAGATTTAATTGTATGCCCCGGTGGGCCGAATCGGATTGAGTGAAGGAAGGCTTAAGACGTGTGTAGAAATGAGTGTAGGTAGACCTTTCCATAAAATATTCATAAAATAGGAACCATTCGTGATCTGAGAAGCGTACGAAATACACTCACGTTTGGACTACGTACTGCAGTGTTACACTACATTGGCATGGTGCCTGATCGTTGTAGACAGGAATAAAATGACAATTAATAAGAGGTAAAAGTTATTCCAGCAAGTGAACTAAATGGTCATTTGACCAAAGGTTTGTGATATTTAGTACAACGGCAAGTGGATCATGAAATGCATGGTCTGCAAGGCTGTATTTTATAAACGGAAGGGTGTAATGCGACAACTTCTACCCATGAAAATACTTACTTTGTTCATTTGCCTTGTGCAAACTGGCTATGATGTCGATACTGTAGGGACCGTCGATATGCTTGCGGTTCCTCCATCTATTTCATACGGGTTTGTCGTTAAAACAAATCGATTTGATTGATCATTGATTTCATTTATCTTCACTTTCTAACTTTATTGACGTTTGCATGGGTAATTTGAATCAAAGCCATAGATATTCATACCTGTTTTCAAATCATCGCCAATAGATCATTTGTTAGTCGACCATCACAAGTATATTTATGCTCATTCAACCAAAAAACAGGAACTAAAATTAGAAAACAGGTAAATTACTTCAAATCATTTTAAAAATAAGTAATATGTGATTTAATAGCTTTATCAATTCGAGTTTATGAGCTCTTGCTAATTTTTTGACTGTTTATAATTTGCGAAAAAAAGGACTTTCTGAAGTATGCGATGGCTCACAACCTGAACTCAGGTTGTGTACCAGGTTAGGGTTCAGGTTATGCAACATCTTGCTGCGCATACTTCAGGAGCACCGAAAAAAATATATTCATCAAATATTAAATTGAAATTGCATTTATTTTCCGCAAGACCAATGAAAAAATATTTTCAACAAGAAGGGCAATTTCTTCTCCTTGTATTACGACCTTGAGTTTCTTAAATTGTTTGTTTGAAATTCAACTCAATATTCAATATATTTGAGGAATTAGCGATCGTGGCTTGCCTGTAATTAAATTTTTGCTCGAGTTTTTAACATTTATTTATTGTGTTAAAAATATAGAGACACGCAATCTCTGTTATGATATCGGAGCGAATTTCATGTGAGCAGTGTATGGCGCCACTATAAATTCACCACGTTGTTTAAAATACAAAACACGTAATCATAAAATGACTTAACAGATTCCAAATATTGACTGACTTCCACCTCACCGACATTCTGGGTGCCCCACTTTGTAATAGCCTATACCAACATATCAAATGTGAATATATATACACAAATTTCTCCGCAACGACTTAGAAAAACTCCTCCCTTCAATGGATTTGTATGTTTGTGATAAATAATAGGTAAGCCGGCCCGAGAAGAGTTTGTTACCGGGTCTTTAATATTACAAGTTAATGAAACGTTTTTGTAACGTTGCAGTATCTACGGTACGCTATATGAGAGTAGAAACAAATCAGCTCGGGATTGACAAGGTTCTAATTGGTATATATACAATGGGTAGTTTTGCCAACTCCGCATGGTGCGATTACGAACCAAATGGAATGACTCACCAATTCTTTCATTAAAACTACAAAAAAGATATACAAGAGTACAAAATCTTCTTTAGTTGACAATAACATACACATACATCATTTATATACAAATACCTATTACTATCTCGATATTGCTAGAATGTTTTGGAAGTACTTTTGATATCCGGAATTACGAAACTCCAACGCTTGTTATGACATTTAAATAATACTTATTAACGTAATTATATTCAGGACTCCCCAAACTAATAAAGAAACTCTGTTTAGTTTTGGGGTGTTATTATTGAAATAGAAATACATTATAAGCACAAAAAACGAGAAAAAAAATCGCTCCAGATTCTGTTTCTTGAAATTCATGTCGTTGTCATCTGGTGAATAAAAAAAAAGGGAATTAATAGAAAACAAATACCAATCTCATATTCACACCCGAAGGCAGAAATATCGTTAAAGCAAATCTTTATGATGAAAAACTAAAAATATATTTTACTTCCATGTTATCTGATTTTGAGCAGATATTTTTATTTTGCTTGAGATTTTTTTGTTATTTCGAATAATATATTTCAAGAATACCAAATACACAACTTCACGTTATGATGTCATGGATGAGACATAACCCTATCTCCATACTGGTGAACATACTGCGAAATGATATTTTTACTTAACTCGACAAACAGAAACAAAAAACATAACACAAATCTTACTGATCTGTCAATGGGACTTTCCAAGATGTCGCGAATGTCATCATCTTGACAAATTTCATCCATCATCCCATCCATGACTTGACGAACATCAGCTCTAATCTGTATAGTATTTGTTTATTTTCATTAAATAATATATACATATTTATTATTAACATTTTAGAGAACATATGTCATTGGGTTTTCCTAATTGTATTAAACTGTTTAAAACTTAATAATTTAAACTTTAAAACACCTTACATATTATATTTTCATCTTACAATCTTTTTAATTTTAGATTCAATCTCCTATTAGTTATCTTTATGTGACAGGTATATGTTATGTTGATGCTGCGGTGTAATGATCTTAGGATTCGATATTCGTTTTTCTACCTTGAAATCATCGTTCGAGAGTGACTTTTTCTTCTTCCTTCTTCTCTAAAATAGGAATTATAAACTTTGGATTGATGTCTTTCTTAAACCCACATTCAAGCCTACTGCCACATGAAATGATAAGGAGAACCGCTGTTGTATCAAAATGCTGTGAAAAGACGACGCCGATCCTTCTTAAATCTTGAGTAAGGTCAAATTATGCACTTTTTTAGGGATAAAGCAATAAATAAAGATAAGAATAAAACAAACCTTGCTTCTACGTGACTTCGGTCGAGCACTTGCATAATTTTGCAGACTGGGTAGATTACGATTTATCTCGTTCACATCGCTTCTTTTAACGTCAAATGAAGTCCAAAATGCAATTGATGGTATGGCTGTATTGTATGTCCGCGTAGTTGGCGCAGTTTTCGGTCGCATCTTTCTCATACTATCCTACAGCGAACCAATGATAATGTGGTACGTACGAGCTAATTATGATAGTAAAATACAAACTACAAAATAGTATGAGTTAGTTTGTTATTTGCCCCAAAATTTAAAGAGAAGGACTACTCCCAATTTGATGATTTTTAAAAATACCAAATAGAACTACTAAATACACTTTGTAGTCATTCGACTATTAATTCTTATTCTTCTAAATATAAAACTAAGTTCTGATTTGACTAACCTCGAGACCATATTTTCTTCCAGTTGGTGTCACCTTCAAAGGTTTCAGAAATCGAGTCTGGATAGAAAAATTCGTGTAATGATAATTGTAATCATTTCGAAAAAATAGAAAACAATATTTCACTGTACCTTGTTCCTTCTCGTTTCAATGCAAGTTTGCATATGGAGCTTCAAGTTTGGTAGATTTCGATCAATTTTATAGAGATCGCTTTGTTTTATATCCACAGGAGTCCAGAACGCCACTGGTGGAAAATACTTAATTTCTTTCTTTTCGGGTTCTTTTCGGTTGACTGGTGCAGTCTTCGGTCTCCGGAGCCTAATTTCACCCTAAATTAAAAATTAACTGTAAAACTTGGGTGACTGACTGGTTGAAATGTATCAATATCTATAAACAGTGTATTAGTTATTATACTTTTCCATGTAATCGTTTCGTTATTTTAATAGGATTAGATTTGAAATTGCGTGATATATATCAAAAATTTCGGAATCTTTTTTATTTTATAAATACTGAAATACGGGAATGTAGGAATATTGTTTCTAACCTCGACCCTCGAGACGACCAACTCCTTTTCATCAATTACAGCTCCAGGTATATCCTAAAAAGATACAGAGATTACGAAATAATAACAAACATTTTGTTTATACAAAACAATTGCAATAATTAAACTAGATTCAGTTACCTCAAATGACTGAGTTTTTTCTGCGGGCATCATTGATAATCCCATAAATTTGGTATTCTAGAAACAGAAGAATGTAATTTTAATGTTTTATTTTATTGGGCATTTTTGTTTTCTCACGAAAAATGGAAACTTTACTGCTATGAGTTACTGAATCAGAATGTAAGCCTCGATCAAGATGTTCCTCTTACATGGTCACCAGCAGCTTTTGACAGCTTTTTGGATATTGCAATTTTCTCTGCCTCATAGTTTTGAGTTCTTTCAAGTTCCACGGCATTGATTGTCTCAACTAAAGTCATCGACGGATAGTCATCGTCTTTTTTCTTGTCTTCTGAACTCCAAAAGCCACAGAAACAAAACTGGAAAATGTGTTCGTATTTTTTGTTTTCAATTTAAATGACAATAGAAAATTGTTGAGAGTATTTATGAAATCGCCCCTCCTCTAATTTATTCACGGCAAATATTACGTCCAATTAATCACAAAGGTTTACTATAATTTTTAAGAAGTGACAAATAAAATAATTTGCACCCACCAAGAATGCTCCACGAATCCAATTGCAGAGTTTGTAACGTTTTTTCTAAATCAAAATAAAATATATAATAACTTTAAACTTGATCTTAAGAAAAGCTAGGCACGATTGGAAACGTTCACAATTTATTTGGAGTTCTAGAGATAACCTAGAGAAAACTTATATATATATATTCTAAAAGTTCTGCTATCTTTGTGACGTTTAAAATTTATTCGAGGTGTTAGCGATAACCTAGCAAAATAAAAGTATGCCTTTGAAATTATTTGGCAGCTAGAACAGGGGTGGGAAAGGTTTTTGGACGAAAGGCCAAATATATTGCTCCTCTAGACTTGCGGGTCATGTAAGTGTGACGTAAAAAAGTTGGATATTATAAACAGAATGCGTAAGAGAATGGCAAGAACGCGTAAACTATGAGGTGTGACGTGAGAGGAGCACGTCGTCGAATCGAGTGAGCGAGAAAACGTAAAGTTTTGTTAAAATCCACATAACATAAAAATCTTTGGCAACCTAAAATACAACTTACACAGACTAGATCGTAATCCAACAAACTTATTGCACCATACATATTTCAATAAGCACAACTATGTAGTGCATGCAGAATCAGTTAAAGGCAGAAATTTATGGGAACATCAGGCGGTCCAGGTTGAGCCGCCCAACGGACCGGATTTGGCCTGCGGGTCGTATAATTACGACCTGCGTAGATAATTACGTCCTACACGCGACATCAGATTTGCCAGTAGCCTACATCTATTCAAATTTTATTTTTAAGTATATATTTGTGAAATTACAGCTTGGGCAATTATTTTTAAATCAAGATGAATATTCATTTCATTTATAACATATTGTTCGATGACGTACAAACTCAAAGAAGTTGTTGAATAGGCCATTCTTTAGCACGCGATGCGGTTTGATGACCACTTATTTCTCATCCTCTGTGTCATCACAATGGATGTATTCAATATGACGTCATAGTTCAAAAAACCATTTACTCAAGTTCGCGATTTAAGAAAACATTCATGATGAAAGTGCTATCTGTATTGATATGACAAATGTTTTAATTTCACAAACGGTATCCCTGAAAATAGCCAGGAATATTTTTTCCATCTGGATTATATGCCTTATGAACTATACAACATTGTCATTTAGACCAACCTCGAATGCAAATCTGCCACTAAACTAAAAACAACAACAACGTTTTCGGCAACACTTCACATAGCATGAAAAATCGTTACCCTCTTTTTCTTTTTAGGTTCATCTGAATTGACTTGATTACATTTTTCACTTCCCTCCTCATCGTAATTATCTGCGTCTGTCGCACTCATTTGGACCTGAGTCTGAGTGTGAGCGAGTGATCAACTGTTCAGTTTATCACTCGGAATTTATAAATGATATGAATCTCAATTCTATAATTTTCGTTAAAATGAGCCTATTATGACGTCATACTCTGAAATTAATTGATATGCAATTCGAATTTGTATACATGTATTTAGATGGGTGTTCAATTCGACCAAATGTTTATTCATTTAGCTTGTTTTGTAGACGTTGTTACGAGTTATCTGTTAGTTCTCATTCGTGTAACTTAAAAGTTCTTTCTAAAAACTTCCAATTTTCGAAATTTATTGACAGGAGGCTATGAAAGATGAAAAAAAGCAATTGATAGAATGGTTTAAGTTAAGTTTAATCTTGCAACCAGTAAGAAATAATCGTTTTTACATTAAATACAAAGACAAAATAATCACACAAATTTATTGGGGTAGGGAAGCCGCGAGGAACCAAAGCTGGTTAGCGAGTATCGACACCCACGGTTCTAATATCTAATTAAAAAGATCGGGAAATTTAGTTTCGAGACTACAGCAGTAGTTATTGTCGCGAGTATAGTTTTAGATAGTTAAATACTATATACAATTTTAATTATTTATATTAAATTAAATGTCATTCGCATCTTTCGTGATGAGAATTATTATTTATTCTTTAAGAAAACTAATTCTCGTTCTAATTATTGGTGAAGAACTTGAACACTTTTAATGATGAATTTTAATGAAATTGTTTTTAAATTTAACACAAAGGCAAACAAAACCTAAATCTATTGGAGACAAAATTTTAACACATGGTGTTATAACCTGAAGTTCAATGTCGTGTGCAATCTCATCAATTCTTGTTTTAATTGTAGAATCCGAAAGAGAAATCTTTGCAAGTTTCTTACTGCTCGCCTCTCCCAAAACAAGACTAGCAGCTTTTAAAATACTCGGTTTTATCAATGTCTCCCCTATACTGTGCGGTTTTTTCTGCTTCGCAATCATATGAGCAATTTCAAAAGAAGCTTCTACTACATCTGCAGAAGGCGACTGACAAAATGAATTTATGCTACAAGTCCTCATTTTTTTAAATGAATCCTTTTTGCTTTGAAAAAAAGCTAAAGGTTTTTCCTGATGTGCAGGGTGCTTTGTTTTAAGATGTCGCTGTAAGCGAGTTGGCCTCATAGCGTCATTGCTGAGATTTTCAAAGCACAAAATGCATTGCGGTACAACCTCGCCCTTCACTGTGGTATATATGAAGCCATACCTAAGATAATCTTCATCATACTTTCTCTTTTTCCCGCTCATTTTGCAATACAACTAAATTTCAACTAAATCTAAACTAAATGCAATAAATGATTACGTAAAAACTCACTCAATTGTTAAACTACTTCATAACATCACTACTGAGCTATATTCAAAAGTCAATCTACTGGTTCTGACAATACACAACGATTGCAGACTTCATGGCTTGCTCAACTTCTCAAATATTCAAAGCCAATCTACCTGATGAGATTACAAACAATACAGTTTACAAAATGGAAAAGTGCAATTAAATATATGTACGTTTTCAGCCCAAAGAAAAGATATACATCAAATGGTCAAAACTGTCAATTTTATCCAAAACTAAATACCGTGTGCCGCTTACAGATACTTATGGCATAAGTTAGGTCATCACAGAGTTTGCGGTATCAAGTTTTATTACTTATTGCAACTAATCTACAGCTCATCGAAAAATATGATGAAAATTAAGGTATTCGATATACAGCTATTTTTGGAGGCACAACTGAAAGCTGTCAAATAGGCTAATACACAAAACCACGAAAACGACAAAACGTTAACAGCCATGCTCGAACATCTGTCTGACCGACTTCTATTGTACCGTCATTGTTGACTTAATGCTGATTGGTCATTGTTACGACACTAAGCAAGGAAATCAATGCTCGCAGAACCGTTAACACAGTAATCAATTTCAACGCATATTCACGCATGCTTATCCTATTTTGCCACGCGTAGTCTGGTAGTGAGTAGTGAAAGAAAAGGGTCATTTTGCATCATTTTACGACACAAAATTATAAAGCAACAAGACGACGAGTTAAATGAAATTTCAAAATATTAAATTGGCTAAGCAAAATAAAGTCTCAAGTGTGGTTTCTTGAAATCTTTCGCGCCCCCCCTAAAATCTTCTCGCGCCCCCTAGGGGGGCGCGCCCCCCAGTTTAAGAACCACTGATGTAGAAGCACTGATGTCTGGTCAGGAACAATGAGCTACGTACCACCACTAGCAATAGCAGGTTTGGGTCTGTTTGCTTTTGTATTTCTCAATTACACATTCACGATTACTGAACTTTCTCGTAAAATTGGGTCCGTCTCCAATGTTAGTCAAATCTGTAAGAGATTCTGAGTAATCACTATGCGGGCGTATTGATCAGTTGAGGTTACGCGAGACTAACTACCTTTCAAAAAAGTTTGTAATAGCTCTTTGATGGTTTTCATGTTTTTCAAATTTGTTATATACACATATTCTTCAATTGTTTTGGTGTCTCGTTTTTTTATGTTTCATAAATAATATTAATTAGAAGCACATGCGTTAACTAAATTTATTTATTAAGCTGAACCAGCATCGTAGGTGTCGCTGCTCAAAGACCTTTCGTGGTTCCTCGCGACTCCTGTCACACATATAAAGTTCGTCTTCTTTTATTTACTTTATATCTTGCCATATTTCCGGGATATATTTATATTGACTGTGTTGACAAATAAAGGATGATTGGTTGATTGATATATATCTTCTGGTATTTTTAGTTTTTGCATTCAAGTGTGTAGCAAAATCAACTCAGCTACTAGAATCTTAGATCAACGCTCATTGGTCTGTGTTGTCTGACAGCTTTGATTCCTGAGATAATATAAGAAAACTACTGGATTCGTGCCATCGCTAGCTTTTCACATAATAACTGATCAAAAGCGACTTTGATTTACCCAGAACGAATGACTCACGCAGAAATGTTTATGTTCTACCCAGATCGGTAATCGATAAGCATTGAACGAGTCCGTTGTTAGTTAAGTTCGGCGAATCAAAGTAATAGACCATGGACTCGAGTCAAATCTTACAACTCAAGCCATGCTTTGTGGGCCTTTCTATCCATACATAATGTATAGATAAAATTAATCTAATCGCATCTAAAAACCAATGGGATTCAAACTTTTAACAGGTTTCTTTAGTATCGATTACAACATTCCAAAAACTGGTGTGTGCGAACCTAACGAATCCATCACTTCATCTAACCATTTCGTTCATATTTGCAGGGCCTAGTTGGAAACGAGATCCTAACATAGATGACGAAGACATATGTTTTCTGCTTAAATCAGAGAATATATCCATGTCAGATTTGATGGAAATTTTTCCGAGTGGATGTGCCGGCACTTATATTATTACGAGCAACAATATATTTCCCATAACGCTTACATCCCAAAGCTCCACTCATTTTGTGATTGAAATTTCTCATCTATACGACCAAACCACGACCACAAATGCAGGTAAATGTATCAGTACTGATTCAATACAGCGTTAAACGACAGTCAATCTATCTACAGAAGAAAGCCCGGGAAACAAACATTTTCAAGTCTTTATCTGAAAGACTTTCAAATATATAAACATCATGATAGCGTACAATAGAATGGGTGTTTTCCCGACGATTTAACCTAGAGAATATCTTCATACAATTTAACACTGCTAAATTTTTAGTGCCCTCTTCTGATTATCTTTCTGATTAGCCAAAGTTACGGATGTAAATAAGGAAGTCGATTCTAGTCAAACCCTTTATAGTATAATTTACCTTCGTACGTATGAGTGGTTGTTTGCTAGAGTATTGTTTAGAGTTAAGTTGTAAAAATCTTCTTTTAGCTCAAACTAAAGAAACTTTAGCTCAAACTGACGAAGCTACAACTATGCAATCATAGGCATACCAGGACGATGTTGACGATCCCATTGGCTTGTGGGATTTCGAGTTTGACGTCATAAGCTTGATGATAGGCTTCAGCGCCCCTAGCATTATTTTGATTTTAACAATACGGAAAATGCTGCGTTATAGAAACCAACTTATGAGGTGAGTTGCTATATGTTTATTGGGTATACGACGTGCACGTATCGACCGTTTTTTTAAATGTTTCTTATTGCCTTCTTCTCAACTAATGGACCAATCGATTTCGAAATTTTAGTATTTTGCTAGAATGCTCATATTTTTTTTAAATTTTTCCAATTTTTTTCATAGTCCTGAAGGAATCGATATTTTATCTAAAACTTTGCAATATTAGTATATTATATTAAAATCAAACATAAAAAAAAACATAAAAATAAAAACATAAATTTGTCATACGCCTGCCTATACGTTCCGCCTCCGTTAGGTCTGTCTGCGATTTTTTCAGCAAATTCGATGTTCATGAATAGGGCTGAGCACTTCGAATCGAATATTCAAACCGAATCAAATAGTAATTTATCCGAATCAATTCAGACGGAAATTTCAAATTGCCGCCATCTTGTTTTTTTTATTTGTAGAAGTAATTCGAATCCCCGCAATCTTGTTTTTTATTTGGCCGCCGAAGGTCGAGGAAAATTCCTTAATTTTTTTTAATTGGGTATGCAACCACGAATAAAAATAGATAGTTTCAATCTTATACAAAAAATTATCTCTTAGTATGTCAGTGTATACTTGTTTAGAGTCGTGTAAAGAATAAAAACGTAATATAACTTCATAAAAAATGTTATCCGCCATTTTGACATGTTAGTTTATGCTCAAATGTATGAAGCTATTCAATTGGCTGAGATATTTCATTCTTTGAGCTATTTTAGGGCTTGAAATATGACATTATTTTAGGTTTAAAAAAAATTAGTACACAAATCACGAGGTCTTGTTGTTTTGAAAAGTAATGAAACTAAACTATAAATGTTTGTTTGAATACCCCCCCCCCTCCCCATTACCATTCCTCTCTCTACGTCATTGTTACTGTTATACTGATATAATTTACTGCTTTTCGTTTATATTATTATAAGCTCTTTACCACCGACCGATAGAAAAACTATGAGTATCAATACACTATATTTCCTGTTTGAAACTGCATGCTCATCATCAATTTCATATGGACTCTATGTTTTATTGTTTTAGAATGAGAAGACATACCGCATCATCTGCTTACAAGAATAACTGTGAAAGTAATACAACTGCAACAGGTTCGTATCTTTTTGGCCTAGATTCAATGGTTAGAATGCTACATTAACAATGTTGGCAACTTAGGTCGGAAGTCAAAGGTTGTATAATCTCACTGCGTGGATACGAAATTACGTAAGACGTGGAAAGGTGAAACACTTCATGCGACTTCAAATCTTGAGCTTCCTAATTCTATAGAAATTTAAAGCTTGGTGAAATGCTAGAAAAATTTTAAGATCTTATGAAATATGTAATACTTTTAATAAAGTATTATTCCTTTATGATATAGTTTTATCTTTATCTACTTAAAATGTAAAAGTGATCAGCACAGCAGTTGGAACAGAAAAAAATGATTTGGACTGATTAGAACAACGTCAGGAACTACAAAAGATTAGCAAAATTAAATCTAGTATATTGAATCAATAAATTTTATTACTATTCAAACTATAGAAAAAATCAATTTTGTGGTCGCTTAATTGAGGCTACATCAACACAATAACAGATGATTTTTCATGGAATATAGTAAATGTATAAATTATAAATACTTTACGTCTATTTCAGCCCAGTATCAAATGGCACAGTCTTCTGCCATCGCAGTCAATGAGACATCAGGCGGTGATCTATACTTAACCCCGATAAATGCTGGGGGAAACATGGTTTGTGAAGACACTTGTTACGAAGCCGTGGATGTGAATGGCGCAATAGACAACGAATACGAAATTTATTCAAATTAAAAATTACATTTATGAACTAATACAAAATAGTAAATAAATCTGTACTATCTCATCCCATGGGGCGATCCCAATTGAGTGGCAATGACATTATTCATACTGTTATGAAAAATTTCTTGTCTACGGGCAGAATCAACGACAAAGAAATTTCTAATTATATTCTATTCATTTTATATTAATATATTGCAGAGTATTGTTTTGTGCGGCCTTTGAACGATCTCTTTTTTTCTCATAAAACATATCAACAACATAATCTAACTAACCATGGCTTCACAGATACATTCAAACGTTTTATGTTATTGAAACCCATATTAATTCAAGTGAAGTTTAAGATATGGAAAAGTTCTACCGTTTTGTTGAAATTATTTTTATTCTTGAGTTTTTTTGCCCTATTTCTTTTTCCCAAACAGTGGGCTTGTTTGTGTAGGCCCTTTCCCCAAATACCTGATGATTTCAAAATCGGCGTTTCGAAATTTTCGTTTGTACCGATTCAAATAATTTAGTAGGCGAATCTATTCAAATATTCGATTCAAAATGCATAGCACTAGTCGTCGCGACCCCAAATGGGGTCTCTGTAGGAATTACGTAGGGTTTCAAACATGTCATTGTGTCAGTGCGATCGCTGAGGTATCATGAAATATAAATGTACAAACTATCTAAAATTTGACAAACAAAGATAAATTGATTTGTTTGTACCATTGCTTACCATAGCGTCGGCTTATCGACAATGGCTCTATGTTTATGCTATTAACAATGTAGATGCTTATTGGGGCATTACTGTTTAATTTTCGTTATTTTTCATTGAATAAAAAGTTTATGTTTTCATTTATTTTACTAAACCACCGCATGTCCAAACTCTAAAGATATGTAAAATAATGTATCTATTTGCGTAGCCATACAAAAAAATTATAGAATGTGAGCTGTCTGTCACAGGATGCTATAAAATAATTGTCATTAACATTAACTGCAACCCTTAGCAACTGGACAAATGCTGCTGCATACAAGGAGATAAATTTGTATATCAGAAATATATTTATTGGAAATTGCATAAGGAATGGTTAATAATAGACTAGTAGACTAGTGTATACTTGATGCACAGTATTATATTTTTGCTCGGATATAGGTAAAAGTACACACTAATAAAGGAAGCGCGAGCACTGCAATCTCCATAACAAATATATAAATATATATATAAATATCATGTGTCAGGAAAAACAGATTGAGACGAAAAGTCGCTTATCAAAGCAATCTGTTCGAGTTCTGCTGGCTAATATGCTTAAGCTGTCAAGCTCTGATTATAGATACCGTGCGTCAAAAAGCCTTAAATAAGTTCGTGCAGTGTTCTAAATTTAGATCTTGCAATGCTAGCCAATATATGCTGATTTTGATACTACTGTTCGCCTACTTCTTTGCTCTTCCAGAACTTGTTATAAACGCCTCCGATGATCTTATTTACTTCATACAGCTTCTGAAAATGGTAGGATGTAAATTTCATTCACGACATAAATACTTCATCAAACTGTGAACTAATGCAATAGAAGCTCATAGTATGTCAGGTTTGGGAAATTCGGAAAAATGACCGCAGAATTGGTTTACTTTCATATACGAATATTTTATCCCATGACGCTGTCAAAATACACATAATGAAATGTTATTACTACTAATCCCGGGTCTTGTCAACCTATACACTGATATACACCAAAAATACAGATATATACATCGTCTTTTAAATAGTAATCCACAGACTAAAACTAAATTTTTGTTAATAAAATGGCCGTAATTTTCTGAAAAATTGGAGCAATTAAAGAAAATCTAAAAAAATGCTCAAATTCAAAGCGATAGGGGGAAATTTGATAAGTAAGTAGACATATTTACATTGTTTAATAGTCTGTCACCATTCCTGGTAAATGCTGGTAAGTTGGTGTCAATTCAGCTGTTGTAGATACGGTAGATAATGTGGTCACGCTTGCAATTCTGCCATCAGTTTCATACGGATTGGCCGCTTAAATACAAATATAAAATATAAATTTTCTGTCTATTGATCGTTTGTTTATATGGGCATAGAAATTAGAAGTTATTCTATAACTGAAAGTTTCAGAAAATGCGATTTATATAGTACCAGTAGGTTTCTAAAACCAGAAAACTAAACAACATTTTAACTGACGGATAAATAGGTATCCAACATATTGAGCTAGAATAGCTGTGTTTTTTGAGTACGTACAACAAGAAAAGCAATGTATTTATATTTTCTTTCTTGTAATATATATATGTGGTGATACTTACATGGATTCTCCCAAACTGCAGATCCACCAAACACTTCACTCTAAAACAATGTATAATAGCGTTTATTAATTAAACAGAATACTGTTTAGTTATAATACTAAGAATAGGGATATATTCTAGTCTTACCAAAATTTCTTCTTGATCGTAACTACAGCAGACGCAACATTTTAATGCGTAGCCGGCGATAACTGCTTGTGTGAGAAATGAGACGAACATCATAAATTGAATAACTATGAGAAGTGATCCAAGAACTTTGTTGCCAAACACAATCTCTATTATTCCGACGAGCATACCGGATAGCCCAGCAACAGCGGAAAAGATTCCGAGCCGCATGTTCGTTCCACACTGTGATATAGAGCAGCAAGTCAGAACCGCGCACACTTATTTGCGAAAAAAGTTCTTGTTTATAGTAAATTTTTACAGCAAAGTATTGATTACAAAGACAAAACAGAGCGCTTCATAATCTATGATTCGAAAATACATAATAAGATTTACAGCCATACATATGACTATAAATCGTGCTACTCATATATTTTTGAATATGTCATTAAGAAATTGGAGTATATTAGACAAATTTGACCAATGATGCAGCACGTCTTGTACACTGCATTATTCGCTAGAGTCACGACATACGGTTGTTCAATATTAGACCAGTGAGGGCATTATTCATGGTTTATACAAAGAAAGTATTCGATTGCAATTGTTGTTATAAATGCTATCTCACTCATCTGAAAATTACGAAAAAAATTGTATTCAATATTTTTATATTTTGCAATTTTACTTATTGAGATAAAATATAAACGGGGTAAAATTGGTTAGAACTTTTCATCAAACAATTTTACTCAGCAAAAACACTTACCAGCCATTTCTGGGGTTTACACCCCATTGTTATTGCGAAGCTCGCTGTCACAATAATCTGTTAATAAATAGAGAAAAAATAAAATTCTGTAACTTGTGTTACATTGATGTATCTCCGAGTTATTCAACATCTTATTACTAAAACGCTGCAGTGATTAATTGAATAATAATTGAATTCAATATTGAACCAAACCAATGGTGCTGTGTAATTTATCTACAAGACGAAGGCTTTTAAATATATTCTAACAATTGTTCATATCAAATAGCAAACTGATGAAAACACGTGATTAAATTTGTATTATTTGAGAAAATTGGTTTTGACAATGACCTAGGGAGAGAGTCGAATATACAAAATGTCCTGCTATCACTTACCACCAAACTCCCTAATGACGGTAATAGAAACACATTTTGATTGTACTCCATCGTATGCGCAGCCCACACAATCGCACTCAATATTGCTTCAACAATTTCAGAAATCTGAAAAAAAAAAAATTCGTTTAGATCTACTTTGAAATAACATATGCTTACTTTCATGTTTACTGTCTGCGGATTATAAGTTTTAAGTTTATCGAAAAAAATATTCGTTTTTAGATTTACTTTGAAATAACATAAGCATACTTTCATGTTTACTGTCTGCGGATTATAAGTTTAAGTTTATCGATGGAATACTTGGTGTTTAAACAAAATATCTTATTCACGGATTATCAACCCGCCCTGAGATTAAATTTTGCAACCATAAAATTCTATTTTTTCTACTACATAAATAAGCTATCGGATTCATTCCATTGTGATTGCTACATTTCTGGGAGTTCAACGCCGTGTTGCGTAATAGATTTATGCTTTCACCAGAGAAAGTCTGTTTTTTTTAGTTATGAATAAAAATTTACCATTGTTGCGTTCCTCAACTGTATTTATAAGAACTAAACAAAATTAATTTTAGACATGCACAATTCTACATTAAAATTTGTTGTTGAAAAGCTTTTTCCCCGGTGGAAAATATAAAAAATTTACCAAAAAGGGTAAAGGAAAGAATGAAAGTTTGAGATATCTTGATTTAATCAATGGGTTCTCACGCGCGAATAGGCTACAATCAACTCGGCAAAGCATTGGTTAATACTTAATGATTTCAAGGCAACTACACACTATTTCGATGTTACTTTAGTTATTGACTCTTAAAGCCCCTAAGGTAAGTAGAATAAGAAAGTGGTACAATGACAAACTACAAACAACAAATATACATTTAGGAGGCGCAACTACATTCATTACATGCCCATTACGTTTGTGCAATGATTCACATAGTTGTAATCAAAGTTTCGTGGAGCAAGAAGAGAAGAAAAGTGACGATAAGTCGTTTGTCGTTTCCAAAATACCTGACAAACAAACGAGGATAAATACCATAATTAGAAATCACGCAAAAATATAGAATTCTTACCCCCAAAAATAAAAACAATTTCTTTTTCGATTCCAAGTATTTTCTGATTGCCATCTCCTCTCCAATGTATTCATATGATGCAAATGAGAGATTCGGCTTCAACGATAGCAGATTGTTGTTCATTCTGTTTATGCTTTGCCTGGAGTTCATTTCCATTTTGAATTTATATTAATTAGTTTCTAATTATTCTAAGAAAAATAAAGAATGTTCTAAAATTCTTCGGCTATACAGTAATTACAAATGCTAGCTCATTATACATGGGGTGCATGTCGCATATCTAGTTTTAGGCCAGTAAGGTCTTAAACATATATCCCGCCTCGTTGTACTGTTTATTTATTATGCAGATACTGTTACATTTTGAGGCAAATAAACATACATACATACAACGAAAATTCTTTTCTGTCAACATTTTTTCAAGTTATCAATAAAAATACATCACTCAATAATATGTTTAGTCGGTCTATCTAGAATCCCCGTAGTATTATTAAAAACTCATTTTGTTCAAATGCTTGGAACTAAATAATGTAAACTGTGCTTATTCGCTTTTATTGTCACTGCAAGACATAGAATATCAACTTTTGATATTTTCAAGAAAACTGTTTATAGAAATAAATTAATTTAATTAATAATTCAGTAGTGCTCTATAAGAAAATTGCTAGTTGAATATAAGAACACGATATAATATTTTACTATTTGACTGAGGGTAATTTCTTGATTTTAATTTAATTTTCAATATATTTTTTAAATTAAAAGTTAGCAAAAACATTTTATTTAACCGTAAAGTTCAAACTAGTTTCATTTTTCTAATGTAAGCTCATATAATATTTGAAAATGATTTCCTAGAATAGAAGTAATTAATTCAATAATTGTTGGCGAATAGGATTGTTTCAAATTACAAAATAAAGTTTCTTTTCACAAACTTGGCCCGAACATTTATGACTTCCTGATGGCGCAATTCACTTCGAGCTTCACGTATGAGACTGCGGAATGACAACAGATGTGACGGTCTTTTATAGGCACGGCATTATTATGATTATAATTATTATTAAACTTTTGATCCTTTTGTATGTATTTGTCTTCGCGTTCTATAAGAAGAAGAACAATTTATGTCAACTTTCCCTATTAAGCTGAATTGTCGAAATGATAAGTACCTATACTCAGTTAAAGCTTACGTGTTCCGATTTTTTATTTGTTCTGTTATCTCGTATAACATTTGCTATCGACAGAGTCATAAACTGAAACGAGTACTCAGACACTGCTATAATAAATTGTAATAAATAACTAAAATCGATGACGTGTGCATATAACTTTAGTTTGTTGGTCAAACAGGAGTTAGTCAAACGCGAATGTGGTATTCATGTTGCTAAGATGGCGAACACCGGAACGTAGTATGTGTACCATGTTAGGGTTATGCCATAATTTCAGGCACAAATACTACGAGAGTCACTTGGCTAGTCCCCGAACTCGTAATAGAACTAAAATAAGGAAAATTGGAATAACATTATGACCTAACCCTGACCTGGTACACATACTGCGTTCTGGTGTCCGCCATCTTAGTTCACATACTTCGGGAGTACCAAAAATCGTATTATAAAATTTATTGAAATAAGATGTTATCATTAAAAATTACTTGAAAGATTTCCAAAATGTTTTATTGACAAATGTACCACACAAAGATCAAAAATGCATATCACATTATGTAATGTTTATATTTAAGTCTCGTATGTATATATATATGTGTAATGTATGTATGTCGTATGTATAATGTATATATCGCGCCTCGTAAAACTTATTTAATATCTTGACGATCATAGCGTTTTTAATACCACAGTAACGTATCTTCTTTACATGGGCAATGTTCATACCTCTAAAAACAAGGACTAGCCAAATAGTTGAAAATACAAGACTATCTATTTTTGAATGCTTCTCTCATACTAAGATATATTTAGCTTGCAGTATCATAGTTAAAATTGGAATCGAAGAAAACTGGAAGAAATATACGATAGCTAGTTCGTGTATTACTGGTCACTTTCCATGTTCTTATACTTTGCTCCAAGTATTTAGAAGTCTTGTCTAAAAAGCATGGGATATGCTTTTAGCAGTTTCCTCAATACCAATCCTAACTTTTGATTTACGGTAGTATAGCACCGATGGTATAAATCAGAAAAATAAACACTACTAGATTTTTAGTTGTACAGTGCTGTGCCTGTATCTGAATCTATAATTACAAATATTAGATTCACACAACGATCTGTTTTTCTAACAAAAACCATGAAATGCAGGAAGAAGAACAAGAATCTTTACGTCTTGACTTATAGCGTAGCTAACTAATCCTAGTTCAATATGAATAATAAAATGATGCATGGACGCGATGTTTTCCACTCATGACCATTGCGAGTCATTACGAAGTCTATATCAAATTATTTTTTCAGCAGAAATATTTGTAAGCGATAACTAATCTTATGGTAAACTCAAGTTGGCCTGGAAAACGACCCTGAACTTGTACCCCCGTCTTATCTACCGTGTGTGTTACGAATATTACGAATAATTATTTGCTAGCCCTATCTCCCGTTTATCAATACGCATATATACTTTAATAATTTCATTCAAGTTTGTGCGCTTTGAATTATGTACAGCATTTGTTTTGAAATAAATTTCTTCTTTTTGTTCTAGTTATTTCAAACGCGTATTCTACTTGCGCAGTGGAAGATTGTTTGATTTTATGACGCTTTGTCTGCTTTATCAGACTATATTTGGTTAAACAAAGTTTATGACGCACTTCCGTAAGATGCCTGGACCAGGTGGGGATTTCAATTCTATGCAAACAACAACATTTGTTTTAATCGTAAGTTTCTGCCCCCGATGCTACTCATATGAGCTGAACAACAAAAATGCAACCTTTTAATTTCCTCTTTTTTGTTATTACCAAGGTTCAAAGTTCAATAAGGTATGATTCAAATATCACATAAGATCATAAGATTAAGGCTTTAGTAATTTCGTTTCTCGGTTATATTTTGTATGCTGCAGTTTCCGAAATTTGATTTAATGTGAAAATAGCACACGGCTCTGTAATGTTCTGCGTGTGAGGTATTCGTGTAAAAATTTCCCTAAATTACCACTAAAAAGATGCGTTCGTTATATGCAGTGGCTGGATTCAATATTTTGTGCACTCACTTAGAACATGTTCAGAAAAACATGCCGAACGTATAACTCTATAAAATAGAAAAACTTAGCATAAGAATACATAATAAGAACAACTTGTACAACATATTTACTAGAATATGTCACTACATTTGGACAACGCGCGCTACATAAATCTCATACATAACTTCCGAAAGATATATGTTAGGTAAATTTGTCTGTATCGCCAGTAGAATTTTGAGCAAACAGTTGGCTTAAATCATAGAGTTAGAAGATCAATGAATTTGATGATATGTAAATATTTGGGATAGGTATAAAATCAAACGCGAATGACTAGTCAAGTTTTGAAAGTCATTTGCTGCTATTTTAAAAATGTCACGTCTAAATTAGCAATTCATACATTTAAGGGTTTGTCGCCTAAGATACCAGCGGCTGTATCATATTATTTTTGGACACACGGTGTGGACCTATGGATCGTTTATGTTGACCGTTATTACTTTGTTGTTTCCCCTTTTTCTTTTTGTTGTGGGGAAATTTATTTTCGCTCATCTCTTCAACTACTGGACCGATTGCTTTGAAATTTTCAGTGGTTAAAGGTTGTATTTGTCGCTAGGCTATTTTATTCATTTCAAAAATTTCTGTGGGATCCATTTTTACTATTGTTTTTGTGTGCTGATGTAATCAAAATCGAATCAGCGCACCTTGTGGCGGTTCTGCGTTCGTGATTTTTTGCAATTTGGTGGTCAGTTCAGGGTTGCCATATTGGATTTTCCAACGCCAAATTTAACAATTTTGACTTTTTTATAACACGTTTGGCGTCAGAATTTCAGTTTGGCGTTTTGATTTTTTCTTGGATGTTTTATGTCTGTTCTAGTTTCTTTTGTCTATTACAAAAATCACATAAAATACAATATTTAGTGTGCAACAATATCCTATTGCTTAGCTACCTAACATTTGGATTTCCCCGAGCATCGATTTCCTTGTTTATTACCTTAACCATAACCAATCAAAATTGAATTGATCAAAAATTAAAATGATAGCAGCCGAAAAAACAACTTTCAATGAGAAAAGACATTTAAATGGCTCACTAAATCAACTGATGGCTCTAATTCAGCGTATTGCGAGCTGTGCAAATCCACTATTGCGCCAAGGGTATCAAATCATTTTTTTGGTCTTGACCTGACTTTTTTATCACTAGTATCTGGCAACCCTGTGTCGGTCGAAATCGGGAGGACTACGGTACCGGTACTGTAAAAGATTTGATAACCATACTACTTCGTTTTGGCTTTCGTGTCCATATATTTAAAGAATTTAAAAAATATAGTTATTGTGGTATTGTGGCTTATTTAACGAAACGAACGTGAACCTCTTTTAAAGTACACATACACATGAAAAGGTAATAATCATAAATCGTACAAAATGTTGTTCCCCTGGCCCTAGTAGTCGGCTACGCTGTTGCACGGTGTGGTTCAGTCAGTTCCCTGAATAAATACTTTTAGGTTTGTGTTGGGGATGAATTACAACCCACAAATTTTTATTTAATGACTTGAAACAATATCGATTTACAATACAACGAACACTTATAGTGCACGTCGGGTTCCTGGGGTCGGAGTCAGGACAAACGAGGACAAGTTGAGGCTAGGTTTAAAAATAGCAAATAAAAGGAAATTAGTTGTCAAGTTTAAACGATTCATTCCATCAATGTAATATTTTAACTCTTTGAACTCTGATTTGTCTGAGCGAAGTTACTTCCTCATCTGAAGGTTCGCGGCGCCGTATCGGTAGAACAATAAAATAATTCGAAATATTGGTTATTTTGAACGTTCATAACTTTTTAACAATTATGGGTACCGAATTGACGGACACCTCAGAGCGAAATTTCAAAAAGTCAAATTTTATCGTGCAGTGAGATAAAATGTTACATTTTGGAATAGAGTTTGTCAAAAATGAGAAATTGAGTTGTAATCATTTTTTTCTCTACTTGTCAGTGAGTTATGATCCCGAATGTCGTATTTTGGTAAGAAATATATTGCCAATCAA